AAATGAAACGCTGAGCCTCATAGGTGGTGTGGCCTGGTGCCCTTTGAACCGGGAAGGCTGGGACAAGAGGCCACCGAGGGCCCTCAGGGAAAACACCACAGCTTATCTGAGCCAGAACAAGGGGCGGGACTGCCCGAGAGAAGGAAATCTGCAAACCTCCAGCAGAGCCTCGGTGAGAGCGGCCAGGGGCTGGAGGGAAGCTGCTGTCTCTGCCACAGGAAGCCCTGGGAGGGAGGCCTCTCTGCCTCCCACGGCAGCAGGAGCAGGTGTGGGCACCGGGGGCACCCAGAGGAGCGTGTGTGGCTGTCTGGTGGCAGCGTCACCCAAGGTAGGAGACAATGCCCGTGTCCCTGATCGGAGCAGGGAGGCGCAGCTGTGCCGGGGACTGGCTGCTGTTCCCTGGGGCCTCTCCCTCCTGCCCCTTCCTCTTTCTGCCTCTCTCCTCACAGGTCTCTTTCTGTGCATTTCAGAGCTTCCTGCCATGCTCCTCAGGTGGTGGCACCAGGAGAAGCTGGGGAAGTTACTCCCAGCTGCTGGAGTGGCAGTGTTATCAGGCTGGCTGTAGTACTTGCTTTTCTAATCTGGGTCTGCGGGCTAGAGGTCTGTGGTGCGGCCCTCTCTCAAGCAGCCCGACCCAGCTGTTCACACATGGAGCCTTCTGGACACTGCCCCGGGCGCGGGGGGGGGGGGGGGTTGACCTTCTTGCCAGCCTGGGCAGGGCTGTGTGGTCTGCTGGGCTGGGCAGACCTGCTGGCAACTGATCCCAAGAAGGCACCCACTCAGCCTGGGGAAGGCGGCAGTGACGATGGTAGAAAAGGTGCAGCTTGCCCTAACCTGTTTGGCTCAGTGGCTAGAGCATCGGCCTGCGGACTGAAAGGTCCCAGGTTCGATTCCGGTCAAGGGCATGTACCTTGGTTGCCGGCACATCCCCAGTAGGAGGTGTGCAGGAGGCAGCTGATTGATGTTTCTCTCTCATCGATGTTTCTAACTCTCTGTCTCTCTCCCTTCCTCTCTGTAAAAAATCAATAAAATATATTTTAAAAATAAAGAAAGGGTGCAGCCTGTGCAGCTGCTCCTGTAAATGGAGGTTATGACCCATGTGGGGAGATAAGGTGGGGAGAGGAGGGTGAGTGAGTGTGTGTGTGTGTGTGTGGAGAGAGAGAGAGAGAGAGAGAGAGAGAGAGAGAGAGAGAGAGAGAGAACGAGAGAGAGAGAGGGAGAAAGAGAGAGGAAGAGAACTGGGAGAAAATAGTGTCTAAAGCTCTGGAATTGGTGGTAATTGTTGCATGAATAGGTATTATTGAGGAATAATTTTGCAGATGGAGGTATTTTGCTCTTCAGGGCTTCATTTGGTTAGAGAATCCAAGTAAAGTGCCAGTTTAATGTTTTCAAGTCCAAGTTTACTTAACTGGGAGACGTTAGGTCTTGGGTTCTAAGTGACAAGGGTCAACGCCAGCTGAACTGACATTCGGTCAGGAGTGTCTGTGGTTTTATACGTGGGGACCCCTTTTCCCTCCCTGTGCTGCTCCTGCCGCTTTGGGACTCTCTCTCTCTCTGGCTCTTGGTTTCTTCTTCTTGTCCATCTACCTCTTCCTGCTCTTCTTTGGAGGCTCTCTGGGTGCCACGCCTGAGTCTCCATCAGGACAGCAGGAATGGGCTGCACCAGGCGTCCTGGAAGCCTCTGCAGAGGCCTCTGTGGGGGAGGGGGAGAGGGGGGTCCGCGCACTCCTGACCCTGGAGTTTGCTCCCCCGACAGAGAGGCTTAGACGCGCGTCAGGTTCAGAAGCAAGCAGGTATCGCTTGAGGTTTGAGTGGGTTTGAACTCTTCTAGAGTGTTCAGTAGTCTCACTCATGGGCAGGCTTCATAGACAGTGGCTGGGGGAAACCGTGGTCCACAGATTAGCAATGGACCCTAAACCCAGGGTTCCAACACTAAACCCTGAAAAGGTGGCAGGCTTCTTTGAACGTGCATTGTGCATTTGCTTGTCCATGTAGGCAGGCTCCTGGATCAGACAAAAGCTGATTATTCCTTTATCTGGAGGAAAGATTTAATGACTTACATGCAGGATCCTTAGTCTCTAAGACAGAGGAGGGGGTGATAGAAGGGAAGTGCATAAAACACCTTTTGTTGGCCCTGCTTTGCTGAGCTGGTGGTCTCCTCTTGTTTAATGAGAAGTGCCAGGGTAACAAGACAGCTCATTTCAGATGAGAAGGGACTTTCTAAGAACCCAGAGACCAGGACCATGAACGCCGTCTGCCCGTGTCTGTGTGCAGTGGCTGGGCGCTCGGGCTGGACGATCCCAGGTCTGCTGGCCCCATCTGGTGTTCACTCACCAGTCAGCCACAAAACCGCCTGAAAAGTGTAGTTCTCTCTCCAAGTATAGATTTGGTGCCTCTTTTCCCCAGCTTTAAAAAGTAGTTTTAGGTAACAAACGATCCATATGTCTCACTTTATTAAATTTTTAAGCTACTAGAAGTCCTGCATACCTGTAATTCATCTACCTCTATGGGGGATGCCTTCATGGCTTGAACAGTGTAAAGGTTTTGAATAGCTAGAAGAGAGAAGGAAGGACCCTCCCCTGAAGCTTTTGGAGAGAGCCTGGCCCTGCTGACACCTTGATTTTAGGCTTCTAGCCTCCAGAACTGTGAGAGAATACATTTCTGTTGTTTTAAACCACCAAGTCACTGGTAATTTCTGCAGCCTTAGGAAACTAATACACCAAAGTCCCACCTAAACTCATCCCCTGTCCCACCAGAGGGACACATGTAACACTTAGGGACGTGCTGGGCTGGGTGTTCTGTGAAGGCCCTTTGCAGTCCCGTGGTTGGATGATGGCCTTCATTGTATCAGTCAGGTACCATGTAAGCATCAGCGCCCCTGTTAATAAAGGTGAGGAAGGCTGTTTTCATTGGGTTTGAGCAGATGCACCTCATCAGTTCTGAAGGGCACCCTGGTGTGTGCTCCTGACCTTGATGTTCACTCCCAGAGCCATGGCTGGGGCTTGGTGTGTCTCCGTGGTTGTCCACCAGCTGACTCCCGAACCACTGGCTCAGCCTTTGCTGGGGAGAGGGCTAGTGCCTGATGCTCTCGTGTCGGTTTGACTGTCTAACGAATTCATGTGGATCATGGCCCTTTGATCTCATCCACGGTTTCTAAACCAATCACATTCTGTCCCCTTGTTGCCCATTTCCACACATTGTCCTGGGAGAACAATTTTCCATCTGCATCTGTGTTTTCCAACTATAGTGCAGATTGGTGAATTACGCCATTCTTTACCTTAGACTATCAGAATTCCATAGACATATTTAATTCGGATTTAAAATATTGAATAAACAGAATATTTCAGTTCAATTTCTTTTTCATTACTTATCATTCATTTACATGAAGAATTTATATTTAATCCTTTATCGTCTGAATTTTAATACATATCCTGCTAAACTGGCCCAAATGCCTACTCAACAGATATGTATTGAGTGCCTTCTGGATGCCAAGCACTGGGAGCTGCTTCCACAGGTACATCAGGGCATCTGCCCCTGGGGACACAGAAAGGACTAGTGTCCCAGACGATGAGCACTCGCTTGTAAAGAGAATATAATGACAGTTTTACCACTCACTGGCTTAAAATGATGCTGGCTCAGCGTAGGTGCTCAATAAATGTTTAGTATTTCTCCTTCTCACTCCATTCATGAAGCAGCCTCATACATAGCTCTGTAGCCTGGTCCCTTTTAGAATCTTCCTACTGATGTCTTCTGACCCAGAGGGAAGAGATGCAATATAGTCCATCAAGGCGAAGGTGCCGAGTTCTAGGTTTCTGAAGACACCTTGCAGCCCTCCATTAGCCACAAAGGGTGAGACACAGGGCGCACATGCCCTTAGGCTGCTTGGCTCACTCATGTCCTAGCAGCCAAAGTGTTTGTCGGACTTGATTGTACAACACTCTCAAGAACGTGTTCACACCTGGCACTGGACTTCTGCAATGACTTTAAAAACAGCTTTATTGAGATGTAATTCATATATCATACACTTCACCTATTTAAAGTGTTCAACTCAATGGTGCTTAGTATATTTGCAGATGTATGCAGCCGCCACCCCAATTGTAGGACATTTTCAGTACTTCAAAAACCACATACCTTTAGCTAGCATCCTCAATCCCCTCAACCTCCATGCCCAAGGCGGCCACTAATCCGCTTTTTGTCTCTATAAATGTGCCTATCCTGGACATTTCGTAGAAGTGGCACCACTAATATGCGGTCTTTTGTGGCTGGCTTTCATGTAGCATAATGTTTTAGGACTCATCCACTGTAGCTATATCAGTCCTTCGTTTCTCTGTATGCCTGAGTAATATCCTGTTGTGTGGATATACCACATTTTGTTTAATCAGTCATCAGTTGATAGCCATTTGGTCTGTTTTGGCTAATATGAATACTTTTCTGTAAACATTCATGCACAGATTTTTGTGTGAATATTTCTCTTGGTATGTATCTAGGAGTGCATTTGCGGGGTCATATGATAGTTCTATTTTAACCATTTGCGGAAGAGCCAGACTGTTTTCCAAAGAGGCTACACCATTTTACATTCCCACCCGCAGCGTTTGAGGGGTCGGGTTTCCCAGCATTGCCAGGTGAGGGGCGGTGATGGCGGGCCAGAGAAGAGAGCGCAGGGGGATTCAGACATGCCCCGGGACACCGCCAGAGGGGCCGAGCCATGGGGGGTAGCGGTAGGGAAGACTTGTTTGAATCTTATTTCCAAGTCATCAATCACCAAGATCATTACTTTCCCCGAGGACACACCTCCCCATCCCGAGGATAATATGCTTTGTTTTGTGAGGCGGGCGCTTCTGCTGGGCGGTGAGCTACCTGGGATTATGCCGAGGGGCCCATTCCTCATCTCCTGTGCTCACAGGCGGCGGCCCGGCTGCTGGGGATGGTTCGCCAAGACCGAGGCCAGGCTCCCTGGAACCGCTCTCTGATCGCCGCCTCTCTCCCTGCTTTCCGCTTAGCCAAGACCTTCGCCACCGCAGAGTGCCGCCTGGCGACCGCTGCGGGCATGAGCCGCTACAGCCTGGACCCCTCCGGCCCCGCCTTCAGCCACCGGGGCTCCGTGCCCCCCGCCTCCGCGCTGTACTGCAAGAGGCAGAACTCCGGAGATGGCCCCCTCGGGGGCGGCCCGGCCGCCGGCGGCCCCCGCACCAGCCCCCTGTCCTCCGGAGGCCCCTCGGCACCCGGGCTGAGGCCCCCCGGCTGCAGCCCCAAGAGGAATGGGACCTCTCTGGAAGGAAACAGATGTGGTAACGTAATGCATGCATGGGCCCCCCTGTGACTTCCCTCCTGGGCCGGTGGGACCACCGCAGATGGGGGAGGAGGGGACCCTGGCTGTTGGAACGCGGGGACACTGGGAAATCAGAAGTTTCCATAAGTCCCTCATGAACGTCTGTCGTTCTTGAACACAGCGGAGGTCAGGCTGTGACGATAAGCACAGGAAATGATGCATTCGAGAGGAGGCGAGGCTGTAGGAGTTAGCAGACTCCAAAATTACGGTGGCTCAAGTACCATAGAAGTTTATTTTTTGTTCAAGAGACTAAGGTGGGTGTTCCTAGCTGGTGGGTGCATCCCTAGGGGCCCAGGCTCTGTTTGTGGCTCTGCCACCCCCAGGCCTCCGAGCCCCAAGCACCCACTGGTGGAGAGGGCAGGAGCAGGTGGGGAAGGCACGGCCTCCCGGAGCCTGGGCAGGTCGCATCCCTCCGGCTCCCACGTCTTTGGCAGGAGCTAGCCATTTGGCCACATGTCCCTCTAAGGGGGTCTGAGAGGCGTGGACTAGCTCTGTGCCAGGAACCAGATGTTAGTAAAGAGTTTTGTCTTGCGTAGTGGGTGACACCGGTGGCTACAAATTGGTAGATGGGCAGAACCAGAGTTTAGCCAAATGCCCACAGCACTGGTTGTGACACCACTTCTGTCTCACCTGTTACTGGTCGCTTGTTGGGGTGTGAAGTACAAAAGTGCTGTCATTCTAGGGATAGCTTAGTGTCCATTCTGATTTTTGTGTGTGTGTGTGTGTGTGTGCTATTTTTAAAAAATCATTTCAAACTCCAGAAGCTGTAGAGCACAGTGGATAATCTCATGGACTGGGAGCCAGATGACCTGGCTGGAACCCTGGATCTGCCACTTTCTCTCTAGCAAGTCTGACCGTTTGCAAGTCTGAGCTCTGTGCCTCAGTTTCCTCACCTGTGAAATTGGAGTAATAATAATAGCACCTACCTCCTAGGCTTGTTGGGAGGATTAAATACTAGATAAGTTCATGTGTGTATTTAGTACAAAGCCTAGGACAAAGTAAGAACTCAGTAAATGTTAGTAGTTGCAGACCACATGAACATACCCCTCCACAGAGCACAGCTCATCAACTCAGGGGCTGAGAACTGCTGAGAAAGGAGGCCTAGGCCAAGGGGGCAGAGTCTTCATCCTGCTCCTCTAAGCCTCCCAGGGGCTGGCGGTCTTCCTTAGCAAGCGACGTTTCTGTCCTGAGCCTTGGCTCTCTCCGCCAGCAGCCCTGAGAAGCCACAGCAATTAGCACTTTGTGTGATCCAAGGTCCTCCGTGTACTTCCCTCAGTGAGCTCACCCATCCTGGACGAGGCCCTGCTGGCTGAGGATGGAAAGGGAAGCAGGGGCCCCTTAAGGGGGAGGCAGTCCTGAGGGCACAGCATAGACCCCCTCAGCCAGGGTGGGGGCTTTGGCCAAATGTAGAGGCACCTGTAGGCCACTCCCCAGCACTGTCACTCAGGGTCATTGGCCAGGAAGAAGATTTCAAAAGCGAGAGATGCTGTTCCATCTGATCTCTAAGAACAAGAGAAGGGAACAAGATCTGGCACAAACCAATGCCTTAAAGTAAATGAGGGGGCAGCATTTATTTCCCAGGCTTATCCCCAGAGTTAGAGTCACATCTGGCACATAGTAGGTGTTCAGTCAACATTCACTGTACCTGCCCCCTGCTGCCATGGCCCCCAGAGTCCTCATGTTGCTTCTGGCTGTCAAAACCCTCATTCCTGTGTCCCTCTGCCCTTCACATGTCTCTCCTCAACCCAACTCCCACTCGCTCAGGGTGGTGATCACAGGACACCACCTGATTGAGTTGACTCATAATCCTAAGAGGCTGCCTCTAGTTGGTGACATCTCAGGCCCTGTGTCCTAAGTGTAGGATTTCAAGCAGTAGGAGGAAGACATGATTTGGGTGGAGAGAACCATCACTTGCTGTAGAATTGTCTGCCCCATCCCAGTCTGGTCCCCCTGGACCAGGGAGACCCAGGGCCGTCAGAGGGGTCTCAAGGGAGCTCAGCTCCCCAAGTCCCTTGCTGCCTCTTTCCCGTGGAGCCCTGAGATGTCCTCCCACCCCAGTTTCAACCATCCTCCTGTCCTTTATTTTGATTTCCACCAGCCTTTGTTCTCCTGGAATTAGACCCGGAGGCAGGGCCAGCTCTGAGGAAGCCCTCTCTGTCAGAGCCCCGGCTGTACCCAGGAGAGCACCCCTCGCTCAGGACTCCTGCCTCCCAGGGTCTTGGGGAGGTCAGAGAAACAGCACTCCGGTTCCCAGTGCCTTCCATTCCAAGCAAACCGCTAACTGTATCCTGAATATCGAAGGTCTCTTTTGCAACTTGGAAATATTAGTGAGAACTTTGCCTGATACCCTGAAAATTAGAGATGTTCATAGTCAGCAGATGCCCTAGGGCTGTGGGATGTTCAGAATCACACAGCCGCCAGCCACCCTGGGGCAAAGCTGCTGCAGGATGAACAGCTGAGATTCCTGGTCGAGCCTCTGTGATACACCGCAGAAAGTGAAATTATTTACCCTTTGTGGGCGCATTAACTCTTTAATGCTCCAAAAATCCCTTTTACTCAGTGCTTCCTTCAGGGTGCTAAATGGAACCACAGATACCAGAAAGAGCTAGCCAGCCATACACACTCTCAGCATCCAGATGAAGGAAGGGGGCAGGGAAGGTCAGGGGACAGAGGGCAGTGCTGGCATCTCTGAACTGAGGTTTCCACTTCTGCTTGCATCTCATTGGCCAGGATTTAGTCACATGGCTATGAGCTGCAAGGGAAGCTGGGAAATATAGTTTCCATTCCAAGCAACCATGGTCCCAGCTGGAAATCAGGGCTTCTATTATAAAGGAAGAAACGGAAAAAAAAAAAAGATACTGGTTAGGCAAGTGGTGGCCTCAGCCACACCCCACGTTTAGGTGTGTTCCTTCTCTCCTGCTTCCTCCACTGCCACTTGGTTTCCTCGTCTCTAGCACTTCCTCTCTCCGGTCCCATGGTAGGAACCAGACTCCCAGCTTTGTGAGGTTTCTTGCTCGTATTTGTATCCTCTGCAGCCCCAGAAGAGGGACCTGCTTGTTCGAGGCAATATCTAGTTATTGAGCAACTAACCCTCGGAGGTTCTAGGGGAGGGGAGAGGGGATGGGAGCAGACAGGACTCCAACACCCCAGTCTCTTGAACTGGGGCCTCTGCATTTGCAGAGTGGGGCTTTACGTATGCTTTTCTTGAACAAAATTTGCACAGCTAAACACATTTGGAAACCGTGGAAATAAACCATGGGGATTGAGTGGCAGTGTAGTAAGTAGAGAGAAAACTATTGGCCTCCTTACCCTTTGTCACCTCGCTGCCTGCTGGGGGCCCTCTGAGGGCCATTCGTTTTCCCTGTGCCCAAGGGACTGCTCGATATCGCCCCGAAACAGCATCCCCAGTGAAAGCAGTTGGTATGAAGGGACCCTGCCCCTTTAAGAGGGTCTGACCCAAGTCATAAACCCTGGAAGGAACCTAGCAATGGGTCCCCCCCCCCCCCCGTGGTGCTAATCAAAATGGATTAAAACGACAGAGGCCAGAACACTGGGTGAGGCTGCAGGCAGGGGAGTGGATATGGATGACGTGACAAACCTGCGAGCCATCCCTCTCATGTGAACCCTTACCCTGGCCACCTGCTGTCTCGATACATCACACCTGTCACCTCTGTCAGTGGACTCGGAAGGGATGTCGTCACAGGACACATTTACCTGTTGCTTTTTGCTGATACTCAGGTGAAAATTCAAGAGCTCTCTCCTGTCTCTCATCCAGGACATAATCACCGAGAGCCATAAAGAGGCTGCAGACAACAAAAGCGTCCTGACTCTTGCCTTTAACAGGACCTGCTGTAGAATTCCCAGACACAACTTCAGGTCCCAGCTTCAGAATCAAGACACAAAATAAACCAGACATTGTTATTAGCACCCAAGTGCTTCCCATGAGTTGGAGTTTGCTTTCATAGTGTATGGTGTTCGGTGACGGACAGAGACAATTCAGCCAGAAAAAGGGTGGAAGCAGCACTGGATGTGATGTGGGTGGAGTGTCTGAAGGCATGCCAGGGTCTGTTCATTCTGGGGGGAAGAGTTGTGCCCACTAAGACTTAGAGAGATGCCAGCAGAAACTTACTGAGCACGACATGCCTGGGGATCTTCTCGGGTCTAAGGATGGAGCTGACAGGGTGCAGCTCCAGAGAGACAAACAGAACAACTGCACAAACTTAATCACAACTGTGACTTGCCCCACAGGACAAGTATGGATGCTCTGAAAGAGTCAGGTAGGGAGGTGTTGCTGGGCCTCCTCTGGGGAGTCAGGAAAGGCTTCCCGGAGAGGTGACCGTGGAGCCAGCTGGAAGGGGAAGCAGGAGTTGGCCGGGAGGGGCAGTGAGGAGAAGGGGTGAGACCAAGTTGCTGGCCCAGAGGTCACAGTGGTGGCAGAGAATGAATCAGCCCCGCTAGGCCTCACTTCAAGCCTATGGCCTCTCCTCGTCTCTAGAGGCGTCCTCTCTTCTCATACAGGCAGGGAAGCTGGTCTTGAAGGAATAAAAGAAAAACTTGATTAAAATCTAAGAACTGGGCAGGCCCTCTTCTGTCTAGCATCTCCCTCACCTCATCGTGAGGACTGTTGTAATAGAAACAATGAAAAACAACACTTTAAATGGCCTGATGCTGCCCAGATTGCGGGCTGCCCCCACACCTGTGCACTGCATGCCTTGTTTCTAGGAAGGGTGCATTCCGCGGGAGCAGGTGAGGAGGAGGAGCTGAGGACAGATCCACCCTCCCCATTGCCTTCACCCTGTCTGCTCCCAACCCAGCTCTAGCTGGGGGGCCGAGGGGCTCTACAGGCAGCCCGAGGAAGGGCACTCTAGTTCCCTTTTGGACACTGATAAGCTTTCCTTCAGATGCTTCTTACCTGGCTCCCGCCCAAAGCTACACATTCCCTTGATTCTTACAGTACTCTTGAGAAACAAGTTGAAGAAACAGAGGCCCATAGAGAATGATCAGGGCCAGGAAAGGGACCAGGAGCCTGGCTATTGATTCTTCATCCCGTGGGCTTTGCACATGGACACAGATGAAGCTCTCAGATGTGTGAGAGGCTAACCCGTGAGTGTTGCTCAGGACAGCCTGTGGTGTAACGGGGCTCTGCAGTGTCTCCGGTGGAAGGGACCTTCGAGGTCCTTACCAGCTCCCTTATTTCACACCCGAGAGGCACAAAGATGCTCATGTAGCTGGTGGATGGTAGGGATTTCTGACTCGGAGCTCATTGCCCATTCCCTTTTTCTCGCGACTCCATTGTTAGCTAAGAAATTTTCTCTGACTTATGAATGCACAAAGGAAATTATGCATGTACTTGTGGGTGTGTGTGTGAGGCAGGAGAGACTCGGAGCCGGCAGTACCAGTGCCTGTGCTGTGAGAATGCCGGGATTGCTTTAAACCCCGATTCATAGTCATTCTACTCCCGGGGAATGTGAGTTCTGCTTAGAAATGACAACAGCCATGTTTAGTGACACATGTGTTCACAGTCGGGTCTCACTCTCACGTCCCCAGCAGCCCAGTGAACGGACAGGACCATGCGCAGCATCCTCTGTGCTGGAGAAAGCCGCCTCCCGAAAGGCCCTGGGCGAGCACTTGGCGTGCTCTGTTCCTTTAGGAGCAAGATTTTTTTCACGTCCATCACATCTTACCACTGTCCAGTCACGTCTGCCTGGCCGTGCCCATTCGTCTTCCTGACACCTTCACAGCAGATGGAGGGGCGGGTGGATCCGTTCTATCTGTGAGCAGAGGTCTCTGCAAAGGCTTTACAAACCTGCTACCATTGGAACTACCGCAAAGTTCCATTTCTCTTCCTTCTAGAGCAGCGGTTCTCAACCTGTGGGTCGCGACCCCTTTGGGGGTCAAACGACCCTTTCACAGGGGTCACCTAAGACCATTGGAAAACACATATATAATTACATATTGTTTTTGTGATTAATCACTATGCTTTAATTATGGTCAATTTGTAACAGTGAAAATACATCCTGCCTATCAGATATTTACATTACGATTCATAACAGTAGCAAAATTACAGTGATGAAGTAGCAACAAAAATAATTTTATGGTTGGGGGTCACCACAACATGAGGAACTGTATTAAAAGGTCGCGGCGTTAGGAAGGTTGAGAACCACTGTTCCAGAGGAAGTCTGTGTGCTTTGGAACTTGAGCACCTCCAGGGGTGTGACAGGCTTCCTACCGCTCTCTGTCTTGTACGACTCAAGGCCCCTCAGAGAGGCTCCCAGGCCTGGCTGCAGCCCTTCCAGCCTGGAAAAGTGAAAAATGCCCGCAGCGAGCAGCAGGCGCCAGGAGGGGGACGCTCTCCCTCCAGGGCCATCACCTGGTGCACCTCCTTGTAGAGACACACACCTCCCTTGCTCAGCCCTGTGCCATGGCCTTGCGCAGAGGAACTCAGGCTCCCATGGATGAGGCTGTGAGTCGGCCTGGAATTTCTTCTTTCTATCAGATACAGGAAATTAGACTTGCCCTCTGCTCTGATCACTCTAAAGTCATTCTTGGCACCGTAGACTTCCAGCCTTTGTAATCAGAGCATCTATTATCACCCTAATGCCGAAGCTCCGATGGGGTGGGATCCAGAGGCAAACGTGATTCCGTGACGCCTCGTCCCCATGTTGAGTGCAGATGTCGTTTAAGCACACATCTGCATTCAGATGGCTCCAGGGGGCAGTGACAGTTTCCCGGCAAAAATGTCCCGTGCCAGACAACCCTAGGGGACTCTTCCAGGTGCAAAAGAAAAGGCAGGGAAATGTCAAAGAAACCCCAATTCTCAACCAAACCATTATGTATTTAGGATGGACAGGAAATGGGAGGCTGTGCTTTTCTCAAGCACCATACAGCGTGGAGGGAAGAAGGGACAGCAGAGAACCGCTGTGCCCTGAGGCTGGAGAAGGGAAACAGAGCAAAGGCCCCCCCACTTCTAATATAGGCTTATTCTGTGGGAAAGCGGCCTCGCTGTTCAGAGCCTCAGCTTTTTTCTGGCCTGAACGTGGGATTAAGGATTACCCACTCAAGGCTCTTGTGTAAGTTATTTATACTGTTTCTGCAAAAGATATTGAATCATTTTACATTGATTGACCCAGTTTTTATAAATATATACTTAGAGCAATGGAGAAGCCAATGATTACAGACCCCGTAATGAGAGGACACCGTTTCCCACCACACATTTTGCCCAGGACCTGGTAAAGAAGAGACATGCTCAGTAGATGTTTGTGGAATGAATGGGGGGAGGGGAAGGTGAAAAAGATCATCCTCAGAATTAAAATATAACTGGAGGCTGCAGACAAGTACGTGCATAATTGTAATGCGAGGCAAAATGGAAAGCATCTTTTAAAAAAAAGAAATATTTTTATTGATTTCAGAGAGGAAGGGAGAGGGAAAGAGAGATAGAAACATCAATGATGAGAAAGAATCATTGATCGGCTGCCTCTTGCACGCCCCACGCTGGGGATCGGGCCAGCAACCCAGGCACATGCCCTGACGGGGAATCAAACCTCTTGGTTCATAGGTTGATGCTCAGTCACTGAGCCACGCCGGCCAGGCTGAAAAGCATCTTAAGAGAAGAACAAACGAAGATTTGGGGGTTAAAGGTGAAGGAAGGTGGTGTTCAGATGGCAGGACACAGACATGCTGCCCTGGAAGGGGCCTCCCTGGGCTCAGATGCTGGTGGAGTCTCCGTGGGAAGGAGGGAGGGTAAATGTCTCCTGGACAGAAGCCAAAGCCCCAGCTAAAGGTGGACAAGGGAAGCTGGAGGGACACTGGGTCATAACCAGGGTGCAGCCACTCACAGCCTTTCTCTGTCACAGGAGGTCACTCAGGCCAGCACCTTGGACTTGAGGGCCAGGTGGGAGCAGGCAGCACAGGTAGGGGCTCAGGCCCTTGTCCTGGTGTCTAATGATCTTGCTCTCCATGCTCACCCATCCAGCCTCAAGCCCTTCTCCAGATGGGCAGGACGGCAGGCGGCCAAGGAGCAGGAACCCGTCCACCTGGACCGTGGAGGACGTGGTCCGGTTCGTGAAAGACGCTGACCCGCAGGCTCTGGGGCCTCACGTGGAGCTCTTCAGAAAGCATGTATGTGTGTGGTGGGCCTGGCCTGGGGGAGGTTGAGGTGGGGGGAGGCATGGGAGAAGGGGGAGGTTCAGGGAGCTGGGGGCTGGGGGCGGTTCTGAACTAAGCTCTGGGGGCACCACTAAAGGAGGCCAGTTCTTCTCAGAGCACAATCCCCACTTAGTTTGTTTTAGAGGGATATATGTCCCATCTGTTCCATCATTTTGTGCTTTAACAGGAGTGCCTGTTTCCTGCCCATCCATCCATCCATCCATCCATCCATCCATCCATCCATCCATTTGTGCATTCAACAAATACCTATAGCCTACCTACGATATGCCAGGCCAACTGTTAGTGCCTAGTCCTAAGCTGTTTGAGGATTAAGTGAGAAGAGGCACCCAAGTGTTCAGCATGGTGCCTGGTTTGTAGGTAGCCTTCAGGTAGCAGGCATTCATATAATCATTTAGGAGATCCTGAAATATGTAACGGTGGTAAATGAAAAAAAAAAAGATAAGAATTCATACTTTACCTACCAAGCTTACTTTGTCAGTTTTCTATTGCTGTTATACTCAATTACCACAAATGTAGTAGCTTACAACACTTTAAAAATTTTAATTTACTGGTTAATAAGGTTATATAGGTCTCAATGTACAATTCCATAATACATCATCTGTATATTGTATTGTGTGTTCATCACCCAAAGTCAAGTCTTCTTTTGTTGCCAGATATTTGACCCCCTTTACCCTCTCCTATCTCGCCCAACCAAGAACAACACAAATTTATCACTTTACAGTTCACCGGGTCAGAAATCTGGCAGGGGTCAAGGTGCCAGCAGGACTGACATTCTTTCTGGAGGCTCTCAGGAGAATCCACTTCCATGTTTTTTCCAGCATCTGTCTACCCTCATTTCTTGGCTCGTATCCCCTCATCCTCACCCTCAAAGATATAACATTGAGCAGGGTCCTCCTCAGGCTGCTGACTCTTCTGTTCTTACTTTCTTCCACAATAAAGGACCCTGTGATTACATTGCTCCCACTCCCCACTGACCCACGATACTCTCCCTATTATAAAGTCAGCTGAGGGGCAGCCTTAGTTCCTTCTGCAAACATACTTCCCCTTCGCCAGGTAACCTAGCATGTTCACAGGTTTCAGGGATTAGGACATAGATGTCTTGGAGCGAGAAGAGGGAGCATTCTTCTGCCAACTACAGTTACCATTAATTTCCCCTGCCTGTCTCTCATTTTATTTGGTGTTTCTGTTGAGAAATCATCCTCTCAGATCTGGGGAGGATCTTTATCTAACCCGACACTGACATTTATTAGGGATCTATTGGACCTCAGCTAGCAATGGGCCTTATGGGCAAGGACCACAGGGTGGGTTATGTTTAGACAGAGCTGGGTGGGAGGAGCCTGGCTGTGGTCCAGAGTGGTGGGAGACGGTGAAAGTCTAAGGGGTGGGGTAAAGGGAGACTTTAGGCAATGAGGCCCCCGGGAGGGCCCACAGATGAGATTGGCCCACTCTGCACTGTGCCAAGGACATGGAGCGTGAGTGACACAGAGTCAGCACTTCCTCAGAGTGCAGATGCAGGAGAGGGACCGGTGGCCCTTGCAGTTACATGAGTCCTGTAATTGTGCCTCCTCCCCAGCCAAGTGCCCCACACTTCTACCCTTCATTCCAAGTGCCCTGAAAATAGCACTGATGGTTAACGAGGAAGCCCAGCCCCACCAGGTCCATGAAGTCAACATGCATTCTGAAGGGTTACCATTTTCAGAGACAAGTGGGAGCAATGCCAGGACCTCAAGGGATTGGCGTTTCCTTGGTAGTTCTTTGTGCTATACCGCGAGATGAAGCAGGTGCATTATTTAGTGGTATGCCACCCAGCATTACTGACAGGGCCAAAAAACACTTGAATGCCCTCAAGGGTGTAATTAGCAATCTGGTGATCAGCTAAAGGTAGGTGGGCTTACCCAGAAAAGAAACAAGAGATTAGAGTGGTGGATGGAAGTCCGGGCCTTATACCAGCACCTGGCAGGGGTCTCACTGCGCTGAGGTCAAGGTGCCGGCAGGGCTGACATTCTTTCTGAGGCTCTCAGGAGAATCCATGGCTCAGGAGAAACTAGTGGGAAAGGAACCACTAGTTCCAGGGCCTAAGGGATGACACTTTGTCTTAGCTCGGACTGCTCTAACAAAGTACCATAGCCAGCTGGCTGTGAACAACAGCAATTCACTTCTCAGTGCTGGAGACCAGAAGTCCGAGGGCAGCCTGGTCTTCATCTGGTTGCAGATTGTCATCTTCTCATTGTATAAGGACACTAATCCCATTCATGAGGGCTTCACCATCGTAACCTAATTACCCCCAAAGTAACCACCTATTGGAGGTTAGGATTTCAACCTATGAATGGGGAGGGGGCCAGGGGACACTCAGTCCACTGCACACTTCTTGCTCATTTAGCCCTAGATTGGATGAAGAGAAAGACATCATATGTGAGATATTGGGACCATGCTGGAGTTATGTTTAATTCCTTCAATCCTGATGAAGTAGGACTATGAAAGATCCATTGTATTAAATTACCCCAGGGAGAGGAGCATATAACATTTTTGCTCTATCTTTTAAAGAAGATATTGCGTTGCGACTAAGAACATGTTCCTAAGTGCATCCACATTCCCTTACCTCACCCCCTGACCACACTTTAACTTTGGCCACCAGTTGATCACTCTGACCGTCTTCTGGGTTTCCTTTGTTCTGATCCTGTCCCACCAGGAGATTGACGGCAATGCTCTCTTGCTGCTGAAGAGTGACATGATTATGAAATACTTGGGCCTGAAGCTGGGACCTGCGCTGAAACTCTGCTACCATATTGACAAACTGAAGCAGGCCAAGTTTTGAAGGTTTTTAGAAGCTAGAAGCAAAAGCCAGCCAGCAGATCTCAAGATCATCTCTGCCTTACCAACATCCAGCCACCATGGAAAAACAGATTCCCTTCTTCAAAACAACAGGCACAAAGACGGGGTCTTTTTACAAAACTCTTTGCCTTTTCAAAAAGTCAACCTGGCCCATTTCAAAGGCTCTTTTGTGTTAATGATTTGCCAAAAAATTACAAAAATGCCTATGATCTGTAACATTCCTAACAGGTTGGTTGCCATCAGAGTGGGTCCTATTTGGACAATGAGAGAGTGGGGAACTGAGTGCTATCACCCAAGGAGAACCCTGGAGGGTTCCATGGCTGTGAAAAGAACCTTGGTCTCGCTCTGCAGGCCTGTGGCCACGCCCACCACAGCACCACCTGTCTTTGACTGTGACCCGGGGACCTATCATTGTGAGCCTTGCTTGATTCAGCTCTGGAAGCTGTCTTTGAAGATAAATGCCTCCCCTTGCACTATCTGGAAAACTTGAATTCTTTTGCTCTCTGAAAGAGAAGAAAAAAAACCCTTTTCTATTCCCAGTGATCTGAAGTACTGTGTTATCCCACTAGAGGGCAGACTGCTAATGAGATTTCAGGACCCTCACTCCTGCAGGCGGATAGTTCTGTCCTCGGCAGGAGGGTTAGGGCTTCTGTGAACAAGATCTAGCCTACACAGCATAGGGAACTTATTCCAAGGTCGGCACCACAGATTGCAAACTTGGGAAGAACTAATTACCTCCCAAAGGTAATTGGAACGAAACCGTCTTCTAGAAGGTTCTAGTTCTTAGCCAATCATTATTACGGACTGATGCACAAGCAGCGAAGGCAAGAAACTGGAAGTTCATTCTTCCCAGATGGGGCTTTGGAGTTTCTTCTCTTCCAGAATCCTTACTGGGGTGTCGATACATCGGCCCGCCGAACAGTCTTAGCGACATTTAGCCATGGGTGTTTCTTTAAAAAAGAAGAAGAATGTCTCATCTAAGCTTTGAAATGGGAGTGTTGATTGCTAGTTACATTGCTGGATTATGGAGTTGTATCGGTGGCTAATTTTTCTAGTCCTTAACAAATACGCAGACATGCTATTATTGGGTTTAATGCAATTTACAGAGAGGTTTTCCTTCTTCGCTGTGGAGTAATAGAAAAAAATTGATTTTCTGTCCCTTTGCAGCTGTGTCCAGGGAAGGACGATGCATCCACAATTTCCTAGGCAGAAGGACAACTTTGTCTTCATTCTTCTTCTTATCCTTTTCCCTCTCTCTTTTTTTCCTTCATCTTTCACCGAACAGAAAACATATCTTCAAAATGAATTCACCTTTGCCAGGGGCATATTCACTTTCTTAGAAAAAAAAAAAAATCCGTAGCTGGAGGTGAGGAGATGAAGACCAGACTTTGCAATCTGAAGGGTGAGGATCAAAAAGAACCTCAGGGTTTCTCTTGGCCCAAATATACATTAGAAAAGGCACGCCCACCTCCGGGAGGCAGCCTGAGCAGGAATCTCGGCTGGAGAGTGGGACAGGCTGGGATTTCAGCCCCCTCACCCCTCAACCAGTGCCCCAGTGCAGGAGATGGCCTGCACAAACCCCAAGGCAGCCCTGGATAGCTTTGTAAATTGATTCTTTAGAAATTGGTTAGAATTAGATGAAGATCATGAGAGATACTCCATGCCATGCTGTGAGAGTCCGGAAACCTCACGACAACCCATGTTTCTCCACTGTTTCTGCTCAACCCTCTGAAGCTCATGGTGCCTCTTCCATCAACATATACCTCATTTAGAGACTTTCACAACTTCCCACCCACCCTCACTAGCACCTTCCTCACTACAAAAACATGAGCACTGTGCCCCCAGGTTGAAACCATCCCCAAACAATGTCAAAGAGAGACTTTGGGTAGTTCTCAGGGGTGGGAGATGTTTCCATCTCAAGTCTAGGAGAAAACTGGATCCATGTTCACATGTAACTGCTCTCATGGAGGTGCTATCTCATTTCGCATTAAACTTTAAGCAGGACAGATTGCTGAAGCCATGATATTTAAGGTTTGACTTTTTAAAAATCTCATTACTCTTAAAACGAATGCTGCCATATCAGAGAATAGCCCGGGGAGGAAATTCTCCCTTGCCTGTTTTTGCACTGGAATGCACTCAGCCGACCAAATCATTGTAGCAGTACTGCAATAATAATTAATTTTCACCCCTTTCAAAAATCTTGTCAAACCAGGCAGCCAAATAGCTTCGCAAATGTAAAACATGCCAGGCCATTTCCTCTGAACAGACCTTAAAGAGTCAGGCCGTGTGCGTCGCTCTTGTCTAAATGTGAGCTTATTTGGGGCCCCACACTTGCACAGATGTTGTCGTTGTTATGCCACTGTCGTAGCTTTGCTTCAGGTTGTGACGAATAACGCTATAGTTTGCGTATTTCCAAATTAGAGAGTGTGTGTTCCTGTTCCATGTATTTTCAATTATACTTTTCTTTAAACACTTTTTTAAAAATCTAGACACAATGCTATTGCCTAAGGCGTTTTAAATATTTTATGAAGCACATTATTCCTTTGGTGAAGACTTCAGGTGAAAGACGTGAGGAGTGTGTGTGTGTGTGTGTGTCCTGACACTGTAGTTGGAAGAGCCTTAGGAAGTGGATGGGAGTGTGTCAGCTACTACATGTGTTTGGTTAAATTTGTGTCCCCAGCTTTGTAACACGGAGGCAGAACGCGCTTACCTTCTATCGCCAGCAGGGGGCGCCCTGGAGGCAGCTGGGGGCTTCTGGGCCTACCCAACGCCCAGATGACTGAGGCTCCCTGTGACTGAGGGGAGAGGCCCAGCCAGGGAGACCTGTAGGCAAAAAGCAATATTCTCCAGCATCTTGCTCACTGCCCACCAGCGTGGACACTGGCTCCTGGCATTTCCCTTCAGCAGGGCTGCCAAGCTTTTTCCCTCCCAGTAGAAAAAGGAGGGAAGGGCCCCTCCGGAGAACCAAGTACGATATTGAAACACATGGCAAAGGAGTGCCGAGCTGAGGCTGGCTTTGCTTGAAAAGGAAATCGGTGAGGGAGGGGAGACAAAACCATAAATTTCCTAGGAAAACCAGAAAAGGGCACCTCTTCTAACAGTCCCCAGCCCCTGAAGCTGCCATAACCTATTTTTTGTATTTACATCCTGTATGAAATAGTTCTTACTCTTTAAATATTAAAATTATTTTTAAATTGGTTTTTTTTTTGAGATTACTTTAGGAGAATTTTGTCATATATCTGAAGATAGTTGGAAATGCTCAGAGGTGACTAGGAACTGGAATTTAGCCATTGTCAGTAGGTCTTGAAGGATGAAAAATTGTGTTTTCTTTCTAAAGAAGCGGCCAGGTTTCTATGTGTGCGAGCAGAAGGCGGTGCTCTTCGATGTTTGTTCTGATGGGACACTTTTTCAACTCTTCTCCGATGGGGTCTCATTAAAAAAGAAATCTCAGATAACAAAACGTGGGATGGCGAAGGAGTAGATACATTCTTTAAAATGCAATCTTTTGTGAAGGGGAAGGGCGAAAACCTGCCGGTGGGTGTGGATCATAAACACACTCCAAGCTCCGAGCAGAGCTGCCTTGTCCCGTGCGTTTGCCTGTGGCAGGAGAAGACGTGCCGAGGCCCCGGCGCTGCACCCAGCAGGTGGTGGGACACCCAGAGGTGCGCCCGTTCCTGGGGGCGCCCTGTGACGTCAGTCCCGCGGCCACACCCGCACCAGCACCTGAGCTTCCGGCCTCACTCCCGCTGTGCAGGCTCCCAGGGTGTCCTCCCTCCTCCTCGGAGATGATTCCTTCACGGACAATTGGAAGCTGGAGTTTTGGAAACGCAGCATTTACTTGAAAGAGAATCGCTCTTATTTAGTGCCGCCAGTTAAATATTACGGAAACATGTCTGCTAACAATTTGCTTTGTGTAATTTGTTCTAATGCTAATAGACAGCAGCTGGGACACTTCCTGTGGCGCATTCCGCTGTGGTTGCCGCGGTATGCTCGCACGGGGACCTCACCAGCACGCTGCGCCCAGAAGAAAGCCACGCCGCTCTCCCGCCCCAGGAAATTCCCCTGCCCGGGAAGCAAAAGCACGTTTTCGGGGGAACATTTGCTGTTCTGCACTCTCTTTCCCAAGCAGGGCCCCAGACCTGCGCCGAAGCCCTCCAGGAAGAGCTTGGGGTTCTCCTCGCGCTGAGCACTGATTTCCCCCAGAGGAGCAGGCAGCACGCAGAGCTGAAGAATGGCGCCCTCCTCCAGGCCCGGGGCTGGACCAGGGTTGGTTCTGAGAGGACGGGCAGGAGAGGAGCGGAGACCCACTCAAGAGCCCAGAGCTGGCTGGGCAGCCAATTGAATAATGATGTCAGACAGTGTGGGGACAGAGCATCTTTCGGCCTAAAGCAAGCACGTCAAACTCGAGGCTGGGGGGAGGTGCTCCCATGCCATGCTTGTCCTAAGGGGTCTAAAATGCCACTTAGACTTGCTCTGGGCTGCCAGCCCACCATGCTCTGCTCTGTAGCTTGACCTCATGACCTGAGCCTTAGAGGTGCTTCTGTAGAGGCTTATTGCGAAGGCCAACCCAAATGTCTTCCATCAGAGCCTCCTGTGAAACCTACCCAAAGCCTCGCTTCTCCAAACAGCTCACTACGGAATAGCAGACCCTCACTGGGTGTCACTTCATAGCAAGCGTGTGTGACCCGAGGCTGCCTCCCTCACCAATGCAGCATCCTCAACTCTCAGGGAGGCTCGCCCTCCCTATCATGGTGCTGGAGTGCCTTCCCCACAGCCCGGAGAAATGGCTCTGCCCCGCCACTTCCCATTCCGAGGAGCTCACTCCCATAGGAAGTGGCTTATTTCTTTGTTGGACAGCTCTGCTTGTGAAAGTTCTTTCTCAGGGAGACACAGATGTCTGTGAATCAGACACAGACGTTTGAGAGGAAGCCAACTCTGCAATCTTTCTCTTTTTCACAGAGCTTGTCCAATGCAGTAACCACACCTATTATACAAACTGACACTGGCAAGTAATCCCAGCCCCACTGCGTTAGGACAGAGGAGCAGACACTCGATATAAATGTAGAACTCGGGTAAGGTCATGGTCGCCAGGTTCATCAGCCCTGTCATAAAACACGAGCGGGATTTTTGTGGCCTTGTACCCACACAGAAAGGGTGGCCTGGAGAATTTTCCGTGTAGTTGTAAATCTGGCTGTGTTCACATAAGCATGTGATAAAGTTACATAAGCTTGTGTGAATGAATCGATAAGGCCAGGCGCCTCCCAGTTGTTAAACTGTGAAAAAGATGCTTTGGCACACGGAGGCCCTGTCACCGATTGTACTTACTGGTTGGTGATATAATGAAGGAAGGAAGCTTTAGTTTAGATGAAAGCAGGTTATGATTGATGATAGGAAAGTAAACATGGTCTTTTGTGAATTTATGAAAGAGTCACAGTTTATGACCCCCATACCCAAGTTAGATGCTGTGCTTTGTGCATGCATGAGTGAGCGTGTATTTGAGCTAATGCAACGAGAAGTGGGAATTGGGGAAGGTTTGAGAAGGGATTGCAAAGGAGATGTTGCATTTTAGAGCACTCTCTCTTAGTCAGAAGAACTACCTAGCCATGATTTAGAAATCAGACCCAAAAGTATGCCAAGTGTGTAGTTGATGTAACTTGCTTAGATAAAACTTTGGAGCAGATTCTGGAGCAGATAGATTCTCTCTGAAAATACTTGCATCTTGGTACTTGGGAAAAGTAGATACTATCCAGCACCTTGCCTAGTACCTGCCATATAAAAGGCACCTCACTAATATGCCTTGGCTGACTGAGTGAACGAATGCTTGGCCAGTGTTCATATTTTCTCCAAAAAGCCACCAGTTTTCCTGAAGTCCATTATCTTTACTGAAAAAATTGCAAAAGGAGCAGACCGAAAGAGGAGCACCAGGCCTTTCATTTCCTCTGGCTCTTCAGGTGCTCAGATAGGTCACCCTCCATAGTCAGTGACTTGTATTTCACTAATTTTTTTTAAATGTTGTGTTTCTTTTTAAAAAATATATTTTTATTGATTTCAGAAAGGAAGGGAGAGGGAGAGAGAGATAGGAACATGAATAATGAGAGAGAATCATTGATCAGCTGCCTCCTGCACGCCCCACATTGGGGTCAGGGAATGTGCCCTGACCAGGAATCGAACTGCAACCTCCTGGTTCATAGGTCAATGCTCAACCACTGAGCCACACCGGCTGGGCTCACTCGTGTCTTTTTGTCTTAAGATTTCCCATTCTGCTTGGCCTAATGCTCCACTGCAAGCATGAGAGAGTAATAATGGATTATTTGCACCTTTACTTTTAAAACATCTTTTCTCAATCCATAATGCCTCTCAGAAATGAGTAGGGTTTCCATCAGCTGGTTAACTGCAGAGAGCTCTTTCATGATCCATACACTCCCAATATCTTGCTCCCCTTGGGAAGGAGGCCAGTCCATCTGGGCCTTCCCCGTCAGCCACTCTCACATGTGTGGGTGGTAGGAAGACTGAGAGTATGCAGCCCACGGGGAATAGGTAGATGAGAACTTCCCAGGTCCTCTTCTATTTCTCACTCATCTCCTCCCTTGAAAACAGAATTAGAAATATCAGGGGATTCTCTTTTTCCCCAAATGGTTACATAGGAGCTTTGGGCATAGAATCACATGACCAATTTTTTTTTTCCATAACCACACCAAAACGTAGAGTGTTTCACCTTCAAAGAAATCACCTCAAAAGCTTGAGTGCATGTTCCAATTCGTTGTCATTGCTCTGAATATTCTTAGTACATCTCTTTTGGGGGCATCTTTAGAAGCTAGGACACATTCTTTTCCAAGTGATGTTGGAAGCCCATGGTGGTCCTATGAGGGTGCATTTTGTCTTTTGGAGTGAGCCACAGCCACTGGGGTGGTGTCTGGTGGACTAACAGGTGTAAAGTGATGCGTCTCCATGCTCATTAGGTCTTTTCCTTGCGTGTTTCCTTACTGGGTACAAATGGTTTATGCAATAACAGCCACAATTCACTTGATAATTTAAATATATAGGCAGATATCAGTGTAAGGTGCTGCAATGGTTAGACTACTTTGAAGGCCAATACTAAGTTCGCTTTAAAGTAATCTCATTCTGTATCTTTAGGCATTGTTAGCTGAGGATAATTTGATAAGTGCAAATACACAGAGACAGTCCTCAGACCGAGAGTGCTAGAATCCCAGAGGAACTGGGAGGAAGAAGTCTTGAGTGACACCTGCACGGCTCACCTCCAGTGAATAGCCTTCTTCACCTTCTCTCCCATGGGTTCCACACCACCCAGCAGGGGCAGATCTATGGTGCAACACAAAAGAAACAAGCTGAGTTACTGCCCACCTCCGCATCTGGAAAACGAGGCAGCATCCAGATGACCTTTAAAGGCATTTCCAGCTCAGTTACCTTCAGCAAAGGCCAGTGGGGCTATTGGTTCCTCGCTCTTCTGCTTCATGACTTCTAGGTTCTGCCTCTCCTCCTGTCTGATCTCATCTAGATACCTTCTCTCCCGGGCTCATAACTCCTCCTCAAAGCCTTGTAACCATCACTTTGCTATCCCTTCTCATTGTTTTTTACTTTCCATTTCTTGCTCCTGTCTCTTCATGTTTCTTTGTTTTCTCTTTTTCTCGATTCCACCAGCTCAAATGCCTTTTGGGAAGGAAAAGGGTAGAGAGAGAAATAAAAAATTAACAAGTTGCCTCTTCTCTCCCTGGCTTGGCAGCCCTGACCCTGGCCTGCCTTCCACTGTCCCATCGTCACCCGCCCACAGCACTCCTTGGCTCTGTCATACGTCCAGCCCAATGTCTACTTGTTCTTTCCATTTTCAAGGTCTAGCCCTTTCTGTCTGTCCTTGAGTTTGGGAAGCAGAGTGTAATCCCTTTTGACTGCTCTTCTGTGACTCACCCTGATGGCTCACTAGTAACCGTCATCAGCCTTCCTCAAGCACAAGCCCAAATGCCCATCCCACTCAGTGTCCCTCCTCCTTCAGCCCTGAAGGTCAAGAATCATGTGACCTGGAGCCCATGTGACATACCTCTTGAGAACCATGAGTTGAGTTGTTTTTCCCAGCCATGCTGCCTCCTGCTGTCTGTATGGAGTCACTCTCACACCCCGTAGCAATTCTGATCATTCCAAGTTCTTTATAGAACATGTAGCTTTGTCCAAACCCACTGACTGCATCTACAAGTGACCAAAGCCAGGCCAGTGCCTCTGTTTAAGTGAGACGGGTCCAGCCAGGACCAAAGATGAGGCACAATGATGACATCAGAAGCATTTCTGGGATAAGGTTTTGTTTTTAGACATTTACAAGTCTGCTGAGATGTGTGCAATATTAAGTGGCTTGAGTCTGGGCAAGGGAAGATGATGATGTATTTCCCACAAGGAAATGTGGTTTAGGGGAGGGGCAAAGGCAGCAACATTTTGGAAAGGGCATGCTCTATTCCTGGCCTTTATCCAGCATAATCACACACCCTCAAGGTCTTTCTGGAAGTTAAACTTGCTTCCTCCACAGGAACTGGAAGTGTTTCTGCCCACGTGTGAGAGTTTGGAGGACTGTTTCTTTGTGTGCATATTCACGTGTGCATTTCTATCATGTCATAAACCTCAATATTTAATTTGCTGTCATTGTTCAGCAATATCTTTGATCACTTGAAGATTTTTTTTAAAAATGAGCTCATCTCATCCTGAAATTTTGAATTACCAGTTGTTTCATATAGCAGACATTTCCATTTTACAGACATAGTTGATTAGAATGTTTTTCTTCTGTAAATACCTAGAAATAATTTTGTTAATATAAAGATTTTATACTTTACCTACATTTGTAGATAAATTTTACTTTTTATTCTGTACATACAAGAAAACAAAATCAATGAATAAAATAAAATCATTTCATCATAACTGTCTTCTGTTGCTATTTTCTCTTTACATTCACAGTAAAAAAATTTTCTTAATTAGGTGCCATTGTAACCACTCCAAGCATCATGAGGCCCGAAGGTTTGTGTTTTACTCACCATGAGAGGCTGTGATTACCTGACAAGGCTCTTGCTAAATAATGAGGGCATCTGAGGAAGCGGAAATCCATGTTCTCTAAGCTTGTGAGGTTGAGTGCTGATGATTGAAATGTTATGCCTTTTGTTTTGGAAGCTGAGGGGCTTATTTTCAGATTTTTTCTTTCTGTAACTCGGCTTTAGTTAATCTCGCGTTTCCACCGCTGTAGTCTACCTCTCTCCCCGATTTGCCCAGGCAGGAGGCTTTCTGATCTCTCTCCATCTGGGAGAGTGGCAGCTGCAACCTCTCTCTGGGGAAAGCTTCTGTCTTTAACGTGCACTGCATGAAAGAGCTAGGAACCAAGGGTGCAAATAGGTCACCTCCTCATCTCCAAGGTCACTGCCTCATCTCCTAGGTCACCTCCTCATCTCCCAAAGAGAAAAACAGGGTTGCCCACATTTCCTTTTCCCTGCCTAGATGGTCTTCCCTCCCTTCTAATTACAGACCTTTAAAGGGTGGGTGTGTACATATTCTTATGTGCATTTATGGTTGAGTTAGGGAATTTGAGACAATGGTCATCCAGCAAAAGCTTGTGCATCCTTTGCTTGTCTGAGGCATGTGTGCAAGAAGGAGCTGGTGTCAGTACTGTGGGTCCTCTAATTACTTGAAAATCCATTGTGCTTTCACCTTTTGTGGGCATAATGTAATTTGGGAACATTACTTCAATTCCATGCTTTATTTAGAAGTGCTCCGGCAGTGTGGAGGTTTGAATTTAGGAAATGGTGTATAGTTAGGGCCTAGCTTTTTTAAAAAAATACCAATGGATCTAATTTTGCAGACCAGAAATCAGTGAATAGAACTCATTGTAATGGGGAACAGTATTTACATAGGAGAGAAAGAGCAGTAAACTCTGCTGTCTGGGGAAAGAGCCTCTCCTTAATTTTTGCTCTTTGCAAGCATGATGCAATCAGCATTTCCTAATATTGGGACAATCCCCTCACCTCGAAGTGTTCCTATGTAATTGTGTCACATAATGGGAAATTATAACAGGCAATTTGGTTCTGTAATTCAGTTTGCAAAGCATGCAAACATAAGATAACTAGGTTACATGCAAATAGGCATTACACTAAGGTACAAAAACCAGGGGGAGAAAAGATGCTGTGTCCATAACTTAGAAACAACCTGAATTTTATTCCTCATGTGCCTCAAAGCATAGTTTATTAAAGTATTTATCCTCTAGTTTAACTTTATCATGTACTGTTTATACAGATACATTATCTGTGTATGGCATACAGGTATTCTACTGCATATATTTACAAATCTCTCATCTGCAATAAGCAGGCTCCCAGCAAATCATGTTCTTTAGGAGTGAGTTGATGTGCCCATTTTGTTTTTACAATGTACAGTGTTTTAATGAATAGACTATTATATATAAGACATTATATCAAAATGTGCTTTTAATTTTTCAAAGCCTTTTTGCTGTTGTTTGTAACTTTTTCCTTTGGGCCAATTCTTTCATTATTGAGAGGTCTGTTTTTGATGTACTTTCTTAAACAGTGACTGGAAGGTACACTATAGTCAATATGTACAGTTTCATCAAATATACTGGCCTTAATGTTTTAATATTTGGACGTGTTTGTTTTTAATTTTGGAAGCAGTGTTTTTTTCTAGTACAGTGTATCATGGGCCTGAGAGTGATTCAATAAAATTTCTAAGTCTTAAGATTCCAAGACAGTGCAGTATTTTCTGTTCATGCTGTAAAAAGTATTTCTGTATTTTTAATAAAGAATGGAATTTATATGAGCCTGTGTATATGTTACCTGATCGACTTCTTGGTGTCCCCTATTTCTGTAGAACCAGCTCCCATAAGTAGATAGCAAGGAAAAATCTTTCAAAGGCCTAATTCACAGCTAAGGGAGGCCCTCCGTGTGGACAGGCCAGTGCTGCTGGCTTGGGAGTGACTTGTTACAGGAGACCAGGGCTCTCTATGGACTATACTTCCCGTCTTCCTGACCTTCCCATTCTGGCCTATGACTACGAAGGGGCAGCCCAGACAGGGAAGGAACTTGAGATTGGTCAGAGC